CTCATCTGATTATAGAGCCAACTTGGCTAAACAAACACGTTCCCCATATACGCTCTTATAATTTCAATCTGCCCTGATATGAATAGACATTAAAAAATGCAAACAAAATAAAACAGAGAGTTTACCATTGTTACTTGAAGGAAATAATGAAATCATACTATGTAAAGCAAAGAAATTAGAATATCCTATGGCTACAAAGAAGAGAGTACTATGGAAAGATTAACTTCCTATCTTCTAGTTTTTGTGAAAAATTCTAGCCTCGTATTTACAGGAAAAATAAGATTTTAGAAGATTAGGAATCAAATATAGTGTACTTGAGGGATAGTTCTGTGTCAGATGAGGTTGAAAACAAGACTCAGAATCTATGGTAAATATAAAAAAAATTATTTGAGAACCTGGAGAATAGGAAGCCAAAACAGCTCTTTGCACATGCTTATATTTTTTAAAAAAATATAGATTTAAAAAGAGATAAATTCACAAACTAAGACAAAAATGGTGATATACTTTGGAAAATGGTTGTGTGCTATTTTGAAGAACTTGAGTATCTTAGAGTAAAATGTTTCTAGAAGTCCTAAAGAGAGAAACACAGAAGTTCCTAAAGAGGCTAGGAAAAAGGATTGTAAAGAAACAGAAGTTTTAAAATTTTAGAAGCAAAGAGAAGGAATGAGGGAAAATCAGAGTAAGACAAGCTGACTGCTGTAAACTGAAGTTAAGGAACATTTGCACAATTCTTATTGCCTTTTAATGAAATATGCAAAGGGACACTCCTGAATGAAATGTTACAGGCATAACTAGACATCTTGGTGGGTGTGATGAAGAAAAAAGAAGACGAGAAAAGATGCTTGTTAAGAAGTTGATAGGATAGTTGTATGCACTTCACTTGGACGGTGAAAGTTCAGAGAAAGAGATTAACTAGTACAGAGAGGTCCAAAGGCCATGTCTTACAAAATTATATAATCTGAGTTCAATCACAGGCTATGAGAAAACTGCTGAGACCATCTGACTCTCACTTAATTTCAAAGTCCAGAGTTATTAGTAAGTCAGCTTTTAACCAGTGGCCTAAAATAGTCACACTTCCAATCTGAAGACCAAATTATGACAAGTTGACTTTCTGTTCAGTAACATAACTCAGGAAAACACATTTTAACTGCTTTGTCTATATGGGCTTAAAATTAGGTCTTTATTGTGTTATCTTGGCTTATTTGGGAACCTCTTGATTCTAATATAAAACTATCAAAACAAAAGAGCAGCCAGAGTGAGTTTAGTTAAGATGCAGATACAATTGCCTACAGAACGCATCCCTTAGAATGTGCCTGATGTTGGATGAAATGTAGTTGCTTTTTTATTCTGTGCTCCTATAGCTAGAATTAAACCAGTTTCATTTGTCCTTAGCTTCATTTCTCTCTCCTCAGAAGTCTCCAATTTAATAACTTCTGATGCAAACTAGGTTGAGATTGGAGACCTCTACCCACGTGCAGGATCGCCGGCACTCACCTTTATTCCTGTCTATCTTTCCTTCCCACATGGTAGCCATACAGCCTGTCATGGACACACAAAACCTCTCTACCACATAAGTTTACCTCTTTTAAACTCTTTCAAGCAAAAGTTCGCCCTCACATTTCAAAAAAGGTGTTTGGTAGCCCCACCTCGCTCACAGTTCCAACTACTGCTTTTGCCCTTTTAGAAGGCTCTGCCTTCTGAGGAAGAGCAAGTTGGCCGGGATTGGAGGTATTTCCTCCCTTTCAAGGCACAGGGCAGTAGCCACTGTGCAGGTCAGATTTAATAGCCAGAATACAATGTGCAAGGCTCTTTGAAGAAGAGAAGCTGATCCTGAAGTAACAAGGTGACTGGCCCTCCATCAGTCAACTCTATAGCCTGCCGCTCAAAGTCATCAGGCTCCTTCTCCTGCAATGACTACCTACCTATCTCCTCTTCAAAATCGTTTTCCAATATAACTCACTTTGTCTGTATTAATTCATTTGATCATTTTTTATTCATTATTTTTGGGTCCTGAAAACATACTGAAAATGTGACAAGTAAATAAATACCTTAGAATTATCTAGCAGACATTTAAAAGATTGGGGGTGATGAGAAAAGGAGAAAGAAAAATCACTTTATGTTAGATAAAGATTTAAAGATGGCAAAGATTTAATAACATATAGTTCTCTTGAAAAGGACAGGCTATATTGTCCAACATATTGAATACAATTACAACCCCAAATATCAGAAAACAGAATTTCCAGTGCAAACTGATAATATGTGAGTATACCAGACATTCAATAAAATATTTTCCAAATTAAGCATATATATATATATTCACACACACATCTGTTAATTAAATGACACTGGTAAATATATCTTCATTAAAGTGTGAGTTTTGTTTGCTACTGTACATTTACAATTATGAATTAAGGGCAAGAAACACCATCTGCCTGTAGATATTCTTCAATAACTTAAAAATTTCACAAAGGCTATATTGTTTTCCAGTTTGTAAGCAAATGTCTCCATAGATCTTTCATGTGTTTAAAGTTGGTGCGCTGCAACTCAACACTTATTTCATGTAATATTGCTCAATGGGGCATCAGACACTCTAATTATAGCATTGTTATGACAGTATAATCATAGTAATAGGCTAAGCCATTTTGTCAACTAAGAATCTTTCAGCAGTGAAGAAAACCTACATGTGTGCCAAAATGATTTCAGATTGTATAATACAATTTATGACACTTGAAACAAGGTTTGTCTTTAAACATATGCAAAATGTAGACAGTGACAGTTGATGCATATGTGTGGCCTACAGCTTCCCTTTATCCATATTTATCTATGAGTTCTGAAAAAATGATGGTGCAGTACAATTATTTTAATTGCAGTAAAATATACATAATGTAAAATTTACCATTTTAACTATTTTTAAGTATACAGTTGGTTGGCATAAAGTACATTCACACTGTTGTTCAACCATCACTATCATCCATCCCTAGAACTTTTTCATCGCCCCAAACAGAAACACTGTACCCATTAAACACTAATTCCCCACTCCCTCTCCTACTAACCCCTGGCAACCACCATTCTGTCTCTATGAACTCTCTGTCTCTATGAACTTGACTCTTCTACATACCTCACTCATATAAGTGGAATTATACAATATTTGTCCTTTTGTGACTGGCTTATTTCACTTAACATAATGTCCTCAAGGCTCATCCACGTCACAACATGTGTCAGAATTTCCTTTCTTTTTAAGGCTGAATACTACAACATTGTATGTATGTACAACATTTTGTTTATATAGTCATGTACCGATGAGATGGACACTGGGTTGCTTCCACTATTTGGCCACTGTGACTAATGCTGTTATGAACATTGTTGTAAAAATAAATATCTGCTCAAGTCCCTACTTTCAATTCTTTGGGGTATATACCCAGAAGTGGAATTGCTGGATCAATTGGTAATTCTATGTTTAATGTTTTGAGGAAACTCCATACTGTTTTCCACAGTAGCTGTACCATTTCACATTTCCAACAAGAATGCAAAAAAGTTACAATTTCTCCATAGTGGAATGACTGTTTTTTAAGAATAAAAATATCAATTAAAATTTTTTGATACAATTTCTGATCTTGTCACTTGCTTTCATCACTGAAATCAAAACCAGAGGATTTATGATGCAAGACTTAGTTTGATTAGAAAGCCTAATTCCAAGAAGCCTACTGAAAGGGAGAGACAGAGAAAGTTAAAAGTTTTAAAAATTGATTCAGAGTGTATGTTACCATGAAAGAAAAAGAGTGATTAGAAAGCCTAATTCCAAGAAGCCTACTGAAAGGGAGAGACAGAGAAAGTTAAAAGTTATAAAAATTGATTCAGAGTGTATGTTACCATGAAAGAAAAAGAGAGAGAGAGAGAGAGAGAGAG